GTCGAGGCCCACGTGCGCGCCCAGCTGTTGCAGGTGCGAGGCCGCGGCCCCAGGGAGGCAGGAAGGTTCACAGGGGTGGGGCCGGCCCGGGAGATTGTGGGAGATGTAGGCCTGAGGGCGAGGCGTGCATTGGACGTGGAGGGTGCGTGGACTACAATTCCCAGCAGTCTCTCGGGCAGGGACCCTCTTGCTCTGCTTGTGGCTGGAGTTTGAGTCCGGGAGCAGTTGTAGGAGATGTAAACCTTAGACTTGAGACACAAAGAGCTTTCTGGGGTTTGAGGGCGCCCCCCCTATGGAATTGTGGGAAATCTAAACCTTGAGGGGCCTGTAAAGGCTCTGAACTCCTCCGGGGTCTGGGAAAGGACCTGGGTGAGGTGGTGTGGGGACGTGTAGTTTTGCGGGTGGTGTAAATCGCCGCTCAGGTCTCCAGTTCCCAGCGGCTTATGACTTGAGGCCTGGCCCCTGTGGGATTGTGGGAGATTTAGGTCCCAGGATGGGGTGCAGCTCACACCTAAGCAGCCCTGGAACACGATTCTTCATGACCTCTGGGCATGGGGCCCTGCAGCCTTTGTTCCCAACCTCAGCGGCCCAGCCTCTCCCACCAGCCTCCTGCTGGGAGGGCTACAGAGCCGTGGTTGGGACACTCTTGAATTTTAGCTTCTTAGCAAAAAAACAAACAAAACAGCTCCCATTGGCTCCTGGGGTAGTGGCTCCCTCCAACGCTCTGCAAAAGGCGCTTTTTGCTTTCGTGTTTCTAGAATTGTGGTCAAACTGCCCAAATTCTGAGGCTAGCTGCCCTTGTCCAAGTAGACACTTGACCTTGGGCTGCGCTTGTACTTGGGTGAGAGGGAGAACAAGGTGGTGGTGGGAACTACAGCTCCCAGCAGCCACTGGGGTCTCCCGGAGACAGACAGGTGGGGGAGAATGGGCCCCACCTCCCACCTCTCTCTCCAGCTTGACTGAGTCACTAGGACCCTGGGAGGGATATTTATTGTCTATCCCAGAAGCCTATGGGGTGCTGACATGGCCTGGGAGGTGGGTATGGAGCCGATGGGTAGGTGGGGTGAAACTGCCAATACCTGGCCTATGGACTGCGTACCCTCCTCTGCATCACACACAGATACACAGGGGCTGCAGGGCTTG